ATTAAATAGTCTGATGATCGAATGATGGGGCAAAAAAAAACTTTTTTACCTTTTAAACTAAAAAATTGTTTATTTATAAATAATTTATTAATACTCAAATTGCTTGAAAGATGATATGTTCCCTACTAATGACAACGAAGTTTTTTGTTTTATTCAGTCATTTATTTATATTTATTATGTCCGACAATGTAATAAAGAAAAAAAAATGCATTTTGGGCTTCTGATGCCCCCAATAAAACTTTAAAAAAAGAGGGGGGGGAGTAGGATCTGGGGGCCCTTGTAATCTCGGGGCCCCAAGCTACAGCTTATTTAGCTTATACGTAAATCCGGCCTTGAATTCACCTGATATTTTAAAGACTTTATTCATCCAATCTAGACCCTATCTAAAATCGGCCAATTAACCTGTTTTTTTTTCTAGCCGTTAAACAAAAGTTAAACGGTAAAATAATAAACTCTTTTCTCTAAAATCATATTCAGTTGTTTTCCAATCTCATGGGCGGATAGCCATCAGTATAACTCTAGTGCTACTTTTAAAATAAAATCAAAACATGCAGTGCTCTTACTATCTCCGATTTTCTACCATCAGAACTTGCCATTTTTACCAAGATGAAAATGTTTTATTTTATAACAGCCCGTGAAACAGTCGACCCAATTCTGGGTTTATGATTATCAATGTTCAACTCTGTAGGCTTGTAATTTTGAACCTAATCCAGCAAACAAGGGAACTCCTGGATCAAGTATTGAGAGAAATTTACCTTCGCTGAGGACTTTTTGATGGAACTAACCCGCATTTGCCATGCACGGAGAGGAAAACCACCCATGGTTAGCCTGACGATAAGGGGACTCTAACCCATGATCCGTCTACGACTGAGGATATTTTTTATCAGCTCGCACCCGGTTCGACTGGCTGGGATTCGAACCTGTTGGAAGGCGAACGCTTTATCTTCTGAGCCACCACGGCTCTAGGGGAAAATATTGTAGTTATAATTTTCAGTAATTACGATTCAGTAATTCAGTAATTAATTCAGTACTATGCCACTCTAAAATATCGCCAATATTTCAAATGCAGCTTTATCAATCTAATTTTTAACTCTTGCAACGTGAAACATAAATTTTGACCAGAAACTTGCCATCTTGACCAAGGTGAAAATCATTTCCAGTGAAAGACAGCGTTTAATCGGTTCGCACATTATGTCTTCTAAGCCCACTCTTAAATGGAGCCGATAGCCAAGTGCAGCTTAAGTCATCTATTTTTTAACATCCTGCAATATCAAGAATAAGAATAACTTTTTTAAGATCCCTTACATTGCTTAGTTATCTACGCCTAATCGCACCACATTACCCCCAAAAGCAGTATGAATGGTGTTTTCTACACTAGGGAGCGCTGCAAGCTCGGGACTGCATAAATTTCCGGGTTACTGTTTCAGTTGTATTTTAAAGCCATTTGGCATCATTGTGTTTTGAGATTCTTGCAAACANTTTTTTAAGATCCCTTACATTGCTTAGTTATCTACGCCTAATCGCACCATATTACCCCCAAAAGCAGTATAATGAATAAAAGCAATTTTTCCTTTTTAAAATATGTGTGATTAATTGTTCTATTAATTAATTAATTTCAAGATATTTTGATCAGCTGGGAGTTATAAGACAAATAGTATTTACACAGTGATTTTCTTATTTTATAAAAATAATCCGAGACAAAATAAATAATCCTAAACAAAATTTTTCTTTCAATCCAGTGCAATTTTACCAAAATTTTATATGAACTATCAGAAATTTAATAGACAAACAAAGAAAAAATATTTCTTTTCAAAAGGTGAATGCTTATATTGCACTTGCACTATTGTGATATAAACAAAAATGTCTTCTTATGAGCAAAAAAGAAAAATCTGTTATAGGTAGGTTTGTTTGCATAGTAAATCACTTATTAGGGAACTAGATATAGAAATAGTCTTTCCATGTTTAATAGATGTAAATACAAAACTGAACCTTAATAACAAGCCTGTAATGGTCTTATATATTTCTAGACAATGGTCTTACAATGGCTTTCGATTTCGGATCGAGGTGTATTAAATTTTGTAATAATAGGTCCTAGAACGGCTTTATATTCTGGCCAAATATGAAATAAAGTCCGAAAAAAAAAAGGCTACAAAAGGGTAAGAATATGGTTTTGTAAAATTTTAAATAATGGTAGAAACTTTATGCAAATAAAATATTTAACTCGTGCCTTTATCAGAAAAAAATTAGCTTTACTGAAAAATATTAAATTGCTTAAAATTAGTGCAATTTGATTTCAACAGTTTACAATATCGAATTAAAATTTGTCGTAACTAATGAAATGAAAAATTAATAAATACTAAAACTAAAAAGGATCTTTAAAACTTTATTGTTTAAAAGAATAAAAATAGTGTAATAGCGAATATTAACTTATATATAGTTGATTACATGTTTGAAATTTCATATATACAGACTATTGTAAAATTTTAAATGATCATGGGTTAGAATCCCTGCCTTCTGGCTAACCATGTGAGGTTTTCCTCTCCATGTATCGCCAATGCGGGTTAGTTCTATCAAGTCCTCCCCGAAGGCATATTTTTCCCAATACTTGATTCAAGAGTTCCTTTGTTTTCTGGATTGGGTTCAAAATTTGTGAAATGATCTGTTATGAAAGTATCTTAAAATACGCTGTGTAACTAGTCTTGTATTTAACAACGCATGTATTGTAATGAGTGAATATTGTTCTTTATTAAATTAGAAAACTCTATCTAGTATTTCTCTTTATCAATGTCATAGTTGCAATATTGTTATACCTGTTTGAGGTCAGTTGTTTTAATTTTCATCAACTGTACATTCTTTGTAACTGCAAATGTTTCTGTAATCGTAAATTGTCACTAAACCCTCCTAGTAGGCATATAAGTTCACTATAATATACTTTAAAAAATTTAAAAACATGGAGTGCGTAAACCAAGGATGCTTGAGTTCAAATAATTACCAAGTTTAATCTTTTTAGTTAAGATTTAACAGTTCTTGAATGGGTAATTTTTTCTGTATTTATTACTATACTGATGTAATATTTATTACGCAATTTAAATTAAGCATGGCAATGCAATTTTTATTTAACCTGCAATATTTAAGCTCAAAATTGTAAAAACTGAGAAACATTGCTCCTCATTCTTAACAAGAGAAAACAACAGATAAGAAAAATAAAATTAAAGGAGAATAATAAATTCAATGTTGTTGTTGACGTATGCCATTAAGGCAGAGGAGGTGAGATTGTTCTTGTTTTCCAGTGGCGCCATCTATGACCAAGAATTAAACTTTTGCCAAACCCGTTTATAGGGTGGACCCATTCATACATCCACAGATCGCAATTTTGACCTGAATCAGAGAACGATCAAATCTCTAATTCAGTACCCCCAGAGGTATTGATTTGTTATGAGAACATGGAGGACTTTGAGACTCGACAGATTTAACGTGCATCAGTCAGCATTTACTACATGAGGAGTCTTCGGCCGGCAGGGATCGAACCCACGACCACTTGGACATGGGCCCAGTGCCCTACCAACCAGGTTATCCCGGCCCAATATATTCAATAAAAAGACTCTGGTACACTCAGAGAGTTACTGTGCATACACTAGAAATAGATAAAAAAAATATTTCCTGATTTTGTTTTGAATCGTATTTGATAACTTATAAAAAAAATCTGATTTGAATATCTTGAAAATTTAAAAAGCGTTAATATGTTATTTCTACAAATTTAATTTCATACTGATTACACAAGAATTAATTATAAAAAATGACATTGGCTACTTATCATACAATAGTTCATTAATCAAGTAATGTTTAATTACTTGATTAATGAACTATTGTATGACAAGTAGGATGTAGATATAAAAATCCAAGCATTGATAAAATTGAGGATAGTATTCCTATCTACTTTTCCTCACTTAAAAATTTTTTAAGTGTCTAATAGTCACATTTCAATAAAATTAAAGACCAATTTTAAGATTTATTGGATTATCCCATCAGTGTAATTTTTAATTTTCCGTAAAGATGATGCAAGATCTGTAAGGATAATTTTTAGAAAAGATTTTTAATTTTTTGTAAAGATAATAAAGACATCCCATCAGTATAATTTTTAATTTTCTGTAAAGATAATAAAGATAATCTAAAATAAAAACGATGTGATCCACCAATAAAAATTTTTGTGAACATTTTTTTTAAAAATGACTTACAAAGGAAAAAAAAAAAAAGAAACTTTACCAAACTAGTCAAGACAGATAAGCTCACCGGACAAAAAATTAGTCACCCTAGTTCGCAAACACTGATGAATCGTTAGGTTTCGTTAGATGATGCAGTGGTCAAGTGACGTGCTCAATTTCGTGCACACTGCTTCAACGTGATCAAAGGCATGAAGCTATCAGTGAGATATTTTTGTTTGAAGTGGAAATTGTGTGTAAATATGGATAAGTGTAAGGATGTGATTGAGTGGCTAAGAGGGGCAATTGTGTTTGGCCATGCCCATGGTCATATGGTGAATGAAGTTGCTGGATTTGTTGGTGTTTCGATGCGGACTCTTCAACGTGTCTACAAGCAGTGGTGTAATACACGTGGTCACGAAGGACGATGTCAGAATTGTGGTCGGAAAAAGATCCTGCATGAGAGAGGCTGGAGGCATGCTTCCCGACTTGTCAATCAAAATTGCCTCCAAACCTGACAGGAATTGCTTCAGTTAGTAAATGAAGGTTCATCCCAACCTGTTAAGGAGAGAACATTGCGACTGGAACTGCATGCAATGAACATTTGGAGTCGAACATCTCGTAACAGGCCATTGCTCACACATGCACATAAAGCTGCGCGACTTCAGTGGGCTAGAAGTCACGGAACGTGGACAAATGCTGACTGGTGGAATGTAATATGGTCTGACGAATCACGTTTTTGCCTTTATTCAAAAGACACACGTCGTCGTGCGCAACGAAGAGCAGATAAAACATTTCATCCTGACTGTGTGCTAGGTTAGGTTCAAGCCATAGATGGGTCTGCCATGCTTCGGGGGCGTTTTTCTTATTATGGATTGGGTCCCATCACTGAGGTGGCAACTAACACGAACCAACATGTTTATTTGAACATTCTGGATGATTAGATGTTGCCTTTCGGTCAACATCCTTACGAAGAGTGTGTTGTCGCTACTCCTATTTTTCAAGATAACAACAGCAAAGTTCATCGAGCTGGAAGAATATAAGACTGGTTTTATGAACACTCAGACACTCAATTGCATCTCGACTGGCCTGCAAAATCACCTGACTTCAATTCCATTGAAAATTTGTGGAACATGTTGGAATAACGGGTAAAACGCCAAAATCAGCATCCTCGCAATTTGCGAGATCAAATCCTCACAGAGTGGCTTAAACTAGATTTGGAGTACCTGCAAAACCTTGTGGACTAACTTCCTAAACCGATTTCAGACGGTTATCGAATTTAAAAGCGGTGTTACTTGCTATTAAATTATGTTTTTCATGATTTCTCAAAGGGTGACTAATTTTTTGCTCGGTGTGCTTATTTCAGATGTGTAAATAGCTATAATCTTGAATTGTACTTCATATTTACTAAATCTTTAATAACTTCTGAAGGAATATTCCAATCAACTTTATTTTGGTGTCATTCGATTCAGTGCAAAGAAATATCTCGCTTTCTAGATAGTCATGTATAAGATTTCTTCCCTTTTGACCTTTAAATTAAAAGCAAAACAATTACATGTTTCCACATCACTTGTTGTCTACTGAGCTATTTTATCTAAGGTAAATTAATGTAAACATTTGTTTCATAATTTATTTAACAACAAAATTTATATAAAAATACATATGTAAATGTCTTAATAGTTTAAGTATCTGCTCTTTCTCTTTCAGTAATAAATTCACCAAAAACAACTCAGGCTTGAGAAACCTTCAGTAGATCATCCGCTAATTTCTCAACCTCATCTATTTTATCACATCTTCTCTTAATAATATTTGGAATCATGTCCTCCCCATAATAGGCACCAGCAATAGCTCCTGCCATTGTAGCAATAGTATCAGTATCAAACCCAACTGATATTGCGAAGTAGATTGTACAAACAAATGGATTTGTGCTCTATAAAAGAGTCAAAAATATTATTATAAAAATAAACAAAGATATTTTTTGCCATGTAGAATAAAAATCAATTCTTTCTGATATGACTATGAAATGGAATGAAAGTTTGCTTAAAAGTATTAAATTTTTTACAGATATTTGATTCCATGTACACAATTGTTTATTTAAAAAGAGCAAAAAGGGAAAAGCTGTAGTAACTGTGATGAACTAAAAATGCAAGTTAAGGCTTCAAGTATTATATCTTCATGCAAAATTGATTGGAATTTTCTTATAAGAAGGAATAATTTTATACTTCAAAAGCTTTAAAGATAATTTTGTTATTGGGTACCTGGACATATGGGTATTGGTGGAAACGAGCTAGCTGATGAAGCAGCATGGGCTGGCCCTAATGCAATTTTCTGGGGCCCTGAACCTGCGCTGGGAATTTCTCTCACCTCATTTAGGGCATCCATTTTCAAGCTCTACAGCAAGATTGCCCATGAGTAATGGCACGTTGCTGACGGTCAGAGACAAGCTAAGGAGCTGAATCACGACTGTCCTAGTGTACGTCAAAAGGAGCTCTTAAAGCTTAATAGAAGCAGTTTAAGGAAGATCATAGGTCTTTTTACTGGTCACTGCATCCTCAGGAGACACCTACACACAATGGGAATAGAATCTAATTCTCTTTGCGGGGTTGTCATCTTAAAGAAGAGACATCACGACACATACTCTGCGATTGTGATGTCTATTCTGCTCAAATATTTGAGCATTTAAGGCAGCATTGCGTCAATACCTGGGAACTGCAAGACGTTCCTGTAAGGTGCTTGCTGAACTTCATTTCAGCTATAGGGCTTTCTTGCCAATCACGATTTAGGGTTTGGGTACAATAGACCTCTGGTCGATGTGCCCTGCTCGTCAAAGCTGCTCAACCTCTAAGTCTAAGATAATTTTGTTAGATAAGCTTTTTATAGTTATACATATCCAATTTATGTCGAATTGAAATTTAAATCTATTTCTTCTTCCCTAAAGTACAACAGTGAAACCTGAACAGTTAACCACTGTGGTCAATTAGAGGACGGTGAACGTCACCACTTCGATCCCTCAACTCAAGCATCTCATCAGGTTATTTGAGGGACAATAAAAAAATAAACAAATAAAAGTTACATGATTGATTTTATTAAATTAGAAAAAGTCTAATAGAGTTCTAAGTAATTCGTTTTCCGATAAAGATAACACTTAATAGGCCCCACAAAATGTTTAACCTAAGGCCTAGCAAAGTCTAGCTACGGCTCTATAGATTTATAGTTAATTAACATTAGGATAATTCAAAATGACACTGAGTAACTCTGCATTTTAATTTTTCATACATATAAATTATTATAAAATAAGCTTACCTCATAATTTGGAAGTGGTTTCAGAGCTCTGAGAAATGAATAAATTGCAGTTGGAACAGATTTAAGTGCTATTTCGTCATTACCTATTACAAAAAGAAGTAACATGTTAAATAATTTCAAAATTCTACCATTTTTTAAAGACATTTTTTTTCTGTACTAAACTGAATAAATTTTCCTGTAAGCATTCTAACTTTATATTTTTAAACCACAGCTATTTAGCAGAATCTGAAAAATTCAGATGTTATTTTAATAAGATTTGTTAAAATAATTAAAAATAAATAAAAATTAGTATGAAATCGAACTCTGACACCTGCGTGTGATGTATTGAAGACATTAAAAAAAATAACTATTTTTCTGTAAGTGTTACAGTTCATGAGCATAAGAGATTGTATACATGAGAAGATTTTAATAAAAAGATGTCACTAGAAAAGTATCAGTCATTAAGATATCATTTTAGTTTTAATTTTGATCAAAGTGATCCTATTTTATTGAGTAGCCTGTTACGTAGTAGCCTGTTGAGTGTACTGAAAAATTTAAAAAAGATACAGAAAATTTTTAAACTACAAATTTAACATAATTTCTCATATTTTAAGTCATGCCTTAAAAGCATTAATAAGTTTACTCTTTATAATTTAAACTCCAAGGGAAATATAAATAAAACTGTAATTTACAATTCTGAAATTCACAAAAATTCTTTAAAAATAAAAGCAAATACTTAAACTCTAACTATATTGAGTTAAAGTTCTTAATTGGAAATAAAACTTATCTTAAATTTTTGATAAATTAATCAATAAGATTGTCTTACTTTTGTTCTTTTGCAACTATAAATATTTTTAATATTCAATATTCTTATAGAGTTTAGTTTCTTTTTATATGCATAGTTTTAAACTTTCTGCAGGTTGTATCCAGGATTAATAATTTAAGGAAAATGTATTCTTATTTATGAGAAATATTATTATGATTCTCCAGAGCACAAGAATTGAAATGTTAATGATAAGAAAAAAATCCCAGTATTAAACGAACTTTGCAACTATAAAAATGTCTTAAAAAATGTTAATAGTCAATGAGTACAGTATCATTTTAGCATAAAAAAATTAAAATGTTTTAAATTATTTAAATCTCCTTAACATTCTCGTTTTTTATTATCTTCCCATTTTTATAATTTGACTTCCTTATTTTGTTACTTTATAAAAAATAAACTTCAAAAATCTGGATTTTCAAAAATGTAATGTCATTATTAAAAATATGATGACAATATGTCTGGACAAGTATCTTAGGTACTTTAAATAGATGACTAATCTTGCATTGTTGACTCAATTTATGACTTATATTACATATTTCTTTCATAAACAATTACTTAAAATGTGTGCATGATTACTGGTCAACAAAATGAAAAATAGCAGGTTTTTTTTCCCCTTTAAGCATCAAATTATTTTAAAGTGGATGAAACAGAAAAAAAAAAAAAAAAAAAAAAANAAAAAAAAAAAAAAAAAAATGCTGATGAGATATTTGACTTTGACTCTACCATTAAAATCAACACTACTATTTAGTACTAACTTTACTCTTTAAATTAATACAGGCATTCTTCCTTTCTCTTTTTTTGAAAAAAAAGAAAGAAAGAATAAATTATTTATAATTTCAGCTTATATCCAAATGAATTTAAAATACTGATTTAGGCTTCTATAAATATATATTTTCAATGTATTTTTAAACTTTAAAAATTATTTCTTTATATTATTCAGCGCTTATATTTCTTTTGTTAGTGGCATATGGGTGATTCTCACAAAATATGACAATTTACAGTCCTATGCTCCAAGATCTAATACTAAACTACAAAAAGAACTTTTTTTTTTTAAATTTTAATAAATAGCATTGCTGTTAGCATTTTAAAAATGACCTTGTACTATCATCAACTGTTTTGCATATTTATAAAATTTAATTGAATTTCAAAATGTCATGTTTCTGGTATGTCACAAACAATATTTCCAATAATAACTAGCTTCAAAACTTCGTATAAAATTTTTAACATCTAATTTTTTTTATCTCAAACATTACAAGCATTTCTAGAATATACGCAGATGGTATTATTTACAAAAACTTTGTTTGAAATCATTTTTTCCTGTCAATAATTTGCTTCTCACATGAAAATCTGCCATTTTCCTGGCTACTTTTATTTAGTGATTTATAACCAAAATAGATAGATCCAGCAATCAATATCTTATGTTAATAGATTGATTAGATAGCATCCTATTTAAACATGTCTTGTTGCATGAATAAAGAACCAACTTTCCATTTCAAAAATTTTTCAAGGTGAGTAGGTTTTTATGTTGCCATTTTCCTGTCTTCTTGAAATCATTAATAACATAAACTACATAGATTTATCTGAGTTATTTCAAGAAATCCTGTTTTTCTTCTTCTGCGGAATGTAAACGTCTTAGGCCAAAATGCCAAATTAAAGTAAAGTTAAATGCTATAACTTGGCAAATTTTGTCATTATTTTTGCTTATGAATACCAGAAAATTTTTTAAACAGTTGAATGTAAAGAGAGAAAGCAAATATTAACCCAATACCAAGTTCATGTAAGATTATAATACGGTTGAATGTAATCAAAGTTATTTATTTATTTAATGACTGATTATTATTCACAATATTTTATTCTGTACTTATCAGCAACAAAATCATTTTTTGATTCTTTCTACAGTGGATAAAAAGAATTAATTTAAGCAATTTATGGTTCATCTAACATAAAGGCTTAAGTTGAGTTACTTACTATTAGCCTAAAATGACTGTTTTTAAAACTTCTAACTTATATGTCATTTTCCTGGCATTCAAGATTTGGTGATGAATTTCTTTCTATTTTTTTTTTCTTGAGTAAATGTCAATAAACTACACTGCTGTCTGTTAGATATTAATAAATGTAACTAAATAAGTATACAAACAAATTTAGATTATTTTGAAGACTTTAAATTTGAAGAAATTTTTTTGGTTCGAATTATCATGTTTCCAAAGAATCACTCATATAATAAAAAAAATTTGCCCACACCACTAAATATACAAAAAAAAAGCAATCTTTACATCAGAAGAGAAGAAATGAACTTGCAATTGGTTTTTAAGAGTTACTTATAGCTATGTTCAATTGTATATTTTTTCAATAAAAATTTTTTTAAAAAAAATTACGTAACCTATAAAGCTTTATGACTCATTTTTCATCTTCATAACTTGTCTTAAATCTAGAAAAAGTACATTTTAATAACGCAAGTCATATATTTTTTTCAGGGCTGTATCATGATACAATACAAGCAATGACAAAGTTAAGAAACAGTAAAACTCAAACCTAAATAAGTAGCGACTTCTTGAGGGGTAATATCATCTTGCCTCTCAAGACATTTTCTTATTTTCTTTAAACTATCACAGTAACGAGTGTTTCCCTATTTGAAGAAAGAAATATTTTGTTTAATATACATATGGAAATAAATATTCTATAATTGTATACAATTTTTTCCACAACATCAATATAAAAATTATAATGATAACATGTTAATTAAATTATGTGTTCTGTCAATTATGTACTTTCTATCTAATTACTTGATTTTCACATATCAAGTTTCAACTTATGATTAAAGAGGCTCATATGTCCAATGTTATATAATTAGTACCATTAATAAATCAGTAAGGAAACTAGAAAGAAAAGCAATCTTCAGACCTTATTCTCCAAATTTTTTCTATCTTAAATTATGAAAAGCATTTTATTTTTTTATATGTAATAATAATTTTATAAATAAGTTTCAGAACTCTAGGCAAATAGTTTTAGTATGATACAATTTCTCTTGGATAGATAAATAAAAACACAAAAATAGTATAAAGGAGAACATAATGCTTTTTTTTTTAATTCGATATCAAATTGAATTTTGAGATATAAAGTGTATTCATGAATGGAATATCTTGGTTTACCTGAATACACATATATTGTAGTTGGTGATGAAATACATAAAAAAAAGCTTTTATTTATTTATTATTTTTTATGAGAACGTGTAAATGCAATAAAACTTAGTACTATAAAAATAAACTTAAAGGCACAAACGGTTATTCCACACACCTCATGACTTCCACAAACATATTTGACATGATCATTTGAATTTTGTTTTAATTTTTTCCAAACATCATTTTCAATTTTTATTTTTGACTTAATATAAGTACCCATATTGTTAGTTAAAAGTAATCATGATAAATCACATTCTTAAGAATATATAGTTTAACAACTAACAGTCTTTATATATTTTTGCTTAATTTTTCTTTATGTTGAATAATCTTTCTGATATTTACCTTTTTCTCAATAATTTTCATCTTTTCTTCAAGTTCAGAAATGAACTTCATAGGATCAAGTTCTTTAGATGGATCTAATTTCAAAGCTAAATGTATAGCAAAGCATAGTAATAATGCTCCATTCAAGCCATCAGGATGAGTGTGAGTAATAAAAGAGCATAGCTTTACTGCATTCTAATGAGAAAAAAATTAAAAATAAATATATTGAAGCAATACTTTAAGTAGTAATTTCATTAATTTTTAAAACTAATCTATATATATATATAAATGAATGTCTGTGTGTGTGTTTGTCCTTTATAGACTCCTAAACCATTCGACAGAAAGCAATGAAATCTGTCATATAGCTAGTTTGAAGCACGAGTAAGGTCACTGTCAACATTAGAACATTCCACAACAAACCGTTCAAGAGAGATGATCGAAAAACGAAACAGAATTTTCTGATTGGTTAAACGCTAGCCATTGTTTTAAATTTTGCTATACACAATTCAGTCTTCAATATCTTGAAGATAACAGCGATATTTTCTATCTTATAGCACTATTTATTTAGAAAAGTAAATTACATATACTTTAATATTTAATTATAATTCGAGCAAAATTCTTTATGTCAGATGAGCACAAGCTAGTAAAATCAATGAGAATAGATTTCATTATTATTGGTAGTACCACGGATTTAATATTGTGAGAACTATTTAATAAAAATCAAGGCAAAAACCAATTTTATTCAAATTGCAAGTTTACAATAATTATTCATATTTAGTATGTAATTTCAGGTTAGCATAATTAAATATAGTTTCCGAAGATCTCATTGCTGACAGTTGTCATTTGAAAACTATTACATTGTTTGTCATTACAAAGTTTTCGATTTCATTCATTTTATTTCTTTCATTTAAAAAATAGATTTTTGCTTTAAATTTTATAATTTTTATACTTCTTATTTAATTTATTTCATTTTTATTGCTTTTTTTATTATTTAGAATAAATATGAGAATTTTTAGTTTAGCAAATTTGTGACCACTATCGACTTTTACATTTCTTTTTCCTTGGGAGAGAATATTTACAAAATTATGCTGCCTAAATGAATCGCTCTTAGTCGATCAACATCTCAAGCGCGCAAATAGAGAAATACCCGTGTTTCAGAAACATTGGAGCAACGGGAAAAAAACTTGAAACTTATTGAGAACACATTGCTTTAGCCCGTTCTTTAGAAACATTGGAGCAACAGGAAAGAAGACAGTTAACAAATCAATTACACACTATTCAATCCCGTATGTCGGAAACATCACAATGGGAAGCAAGAATGAAAACCGATCGAGAACTATTCAGACGTTGCCAATACACTGATTTGAATCTTTGTGCATTTCACTATGATCCGACAATCAACTATAGTTTTTACCCAAGCGTCATCATCGGAAAAATAGATCAATTATGTGTGTTTTGTAGTGCTCTCAAATTTAAGAATGAAACTGCTGGAATTTGCTGTTCTGGAGGAGAAGTGAAACTACCAGATTTAACGTCGCCAACCGAGCTATTATGAACGTTCTTATCAGGTAAAAAAAAATTTTGGCGAATATACGCCGGTAGAATTTGTGTTTCCAAATGACTTCATTCGGTGCTACACGTATCGTGCACAAGAATTACATTCCAACATTCAAAGTGCAAGGGCAAATTTATCATCATGCCAGATCACTTCTGCCATTGCCTGGCGCAGATCATACATTTCTACAGATTTATTTCATGGGTAATACAAATGATCAAGTCTATCAACGTTGTCAGTTAAACAATGGCACTAGACGAGAAATTGTAGCTACATTACAAATATTTTTCAATCAACATAATCAGTTAAGTAGACTGTAATTATCAGATGGCATTTCGTCAAGAACAGTTTCAAACAAAGTTGTTATTGAAGCTGACAAAACACCTGAAAAGAAAAAGCCCCAACATTGAATGGGGTGGCTATTGTTATAGTTGGCAAAGATCTATCTCCCACGATATAATTCTTCATCGCAGAAATAGTAAAGTTCAAATAATATCAGAAACGCACTAATCATATGATGCATTGCAATATCTCATTTTATTTGGCAAGGAGAGGATGGATACCATTTCAACATAAAACTGAAAAATCCACAAACAGGGGATGGAAACCAATAATAAAGTGCAATAAATTATTATGCATATAGATTAATGATTCGCCGAAAAGTTGAAAATCATATTTTAAAATGTCGACAATTATTTCATCAACACATTGTCGATAGGTATGCGAAAATTGAAACCAGACGCCAACTCTATATTAGATAAAATCAAACCAAATTGCATTCAGAAGAGTACATCCATTTATGGAATATAATAATTAATGATGACAACGTTAATCTTAATGATTTGGGGAAAATTATTATACTGCCGGTTACATTTTCAAGAAGTCCAAGGTGTGAATGCTCACAAGATACTCACAGGATGCAATGACATATGTTTGCGCATATGGGCAGCAAGAATTATTTATTACATTCACATGCAATCCTGCTTGGGTTGAAATTAAAGAGCTTTATAAATCTAGGCAAACATCATTGGATCTTCATGATATTACCGCACGAGAGATAAAACAAAAATTAAACTCTATACTTCATTTCATTGTGAAGGGTCATGGTTTTGATGTATTCTATTGAATGGCAAAAAAGAGGATTGCCACATGCACACATTCGGATTTGGGTTACTGAGAAAATCACACCATGCCAAATTAGTCAGCTCATATCAGTAGAAATACCTGGTATTGCCGCTGATCTAGACTTATCAGATCATCATCCAAAATATCTTTCACGGTCCATGTGCATCACCATACATGTCTGATTGATAATGCACAAACGATATCCTAAAGAATTAGTAACTGCTGAGACTATCACTGGTTTTTTCACTATTAAATAAAGTTCTCATTTCAAATCACAATCACAAATCTCATTTACACACTTAAATACAAAATTACAATTCAAAATGAAAGCGTTGCAACGCACACAGGGTACAACTAGTATTGAATAAAATTACAACAAGTATATTTAAAAATAATAATTACAGTTAACCTCTCAAGAATGTTTAGAGTTCAACTGCCTGAAGCAATTTTCATATTAACTCAGAGTGCAGGTAAAACCAAAGTTAACTGAGGTATAAAAAAATAAAGCTATAATACACAAGAATACATTAGAAAATGTTTAAATATGGGATACTTTTACTGATTTTTATTATCATCAAAGGGAAAAATGATCAAACTTTGCTTAAGATCTGACTTTTTGACTTTCTTCAGCAATTGCTCAACAAACAATACACATGGGATTCCAATACACATATACTGTAATAAACATGATGGCAAAAACCCATCCTTTAAAAACCCAGTGAGAATTTTAAAAACAATGTTCGTTGAATTTTGAGAGTAGCATTGTATCCATGTTTCATCGACTATCTATATTTGTGCAAAAACTCATCAAGATAGTGCTGAAAAAGCATTCGAATCAATCACATCATAGTATTTATTCTCCACAGAGAGTAAATACAGCAGTCATTTTGAAAGAATTTTTACTTAATTTTTCAAGCAAAATTGAAAGTACTTTACATTTTGTGACTGACTACTTGGCACACTTAATTCATAAATCCCTCAAAAGCAATGATGCGAAGTAGCGCACTACAAGTGTATTTGTAGTGTGGTACTTTATCAAAAAAGTAGTAGAGTGAGTAGTATGATACAAAAAGCAGTAGTTTATAGCGATTTCTGGCAAATATTTTTAACGTTAATTTAACGTAACAAGAAAAAAAAAAAAACGAGGTTCTGAAGCAACTAATTTTCGAATATGATGGGTACACATCTTTTCTAGTCAGTCAATGGAGCACAAAAAAAAAATGTCTCTGTGGCTATGGCTGAGTGTTAACAAGAATTCGTATTTAGGATCGCATTTAACTAATATTTGAATTAGCTATTACTAATATTTAACTAATATTTGAATTAGTAAATACAGCAGTCATTTTGAAGGAATTTTTACTGAATTTTTCAAGCAAAATTGAAAGTACTTTACATTTTGATATGCCTGTGTGACTGACTACTTGGCACACTTAATTCATAAATCCCTCAAAAGCAATGATGCGAAGTAGCGCACTAGAAGTGTAGTTTGTAGTGTAGTGTGGTACTTTATCAAAAAAGTAGTAGAGTGAGTAGTATGATACAAAAACAGTAGTTTATAGCGATTTCTGGCAAGTACTTTTAACGTAACGAAAAAAAAGGAAAAAAAACGAGGTTCTGAAGCAATTAATTTTCGAATTTGATGGGTACACATCTTCGCTGGTCAGTCAATGGAGCACAAAAAAAAAATGCCTCTGTGGCTATGGCTGAGTGTTAAGAAGAATTACGTATTTAGGATCGCATTTAACTAATATTTGAATCAGCTATTATGAATAATAAATTTGAAATGAACGAATTAGAAAAAAATGTTTTAGAATAACAAACTGGCTCATGAAAATATGATTAAATATCTCTTAATAAGTGCTAATGTTTAATATAGGCCAATTTTTTTTATTCAAAACAATATTTTGAACATTGCAAATTAAGTTCTCCAGTAGAATTCCTCTCCTTTAAAGAGTAATGTAGTTACTACATTTCAAAAGTATAGTTTGTAGTCACTACATTAAAAAAAAAGTAGTTGTAGTTAACTTCATTAATAACAAAGTAGTTGTAGCAAACTACAAGAATTACGCAGTTTTTCCAGCCACTGCTCAAAAGCATATCTTAGATTTAGGTCATAAATTATGGAAAAATTCATTTCTATAAATGTTTATCATTTAAAGATGTAATGCCATGTTTACATTCTCTAATCAAATTTTAATTATTTGAAAACACAGGTACAGATGTATCATAAACTTTATCAAACTCGGCTTTTATATGTTTCGGTGTCAAACCTTTTAAATGGAAAGGTTCAGTAACCATTTAAAATTAATTTCTTTCAATTTCATTAATAAGCAAAACTTTTTATTTTCTTCTATAAATTATGAAAATAAAACCATACGATAAATTAAGTTGGAATTACAACAACAATCTAATAAATAATGACGTTTTCTAAAAACAAACTTTTTTCAACATAGTGTCAGCTTCTGGATTTTCTAAGAATTTTTTAAATAACATTTGTAACCTTAGTTTTGATCATTTAAAGTTTTCTCTTACTATAAACAGTTTCACACATAATTTAAATTTCATAAAATGTAATTTTTTTCCTTTGAGAAAAGAACTTGCATTTGCCCATTATCAGAGGTTTAGTTAAAAAAATAAATGTAACATTAAAAGTGAAGAGCAGACTAGACATATTTGTAAACATTTAGTCACGAAAATACAAGCTGGCACATAAACAGAAAAAAAAACCACCGATTTAATGATTTATATGAGACAATATTTTCTGTAATTCATAGCATGAGTCACTCACAATTTTTTATTCATCTGTTTATCTATAGCTTCATAATTCATGACAGTTGAAGGGGCTTCTATTTTAGCTCTCCAACCATAGCTATAATTTCTTTATTCTTATCTATATATAATTTTTAAATAATACGACAAAAAGAAAACATTTATAAATAGTCAGATATTTTTTTTTCTTCAACAAATTCAATAAAGTAATGTCCAAGAAGTAACAAAAATATTAGATAAATAAGAGATAAGTTAGTAACTGAGTTTTATATAGATTAAATAAACCATTTACTAAAAATTTAATCAATAAATTCAGCCTTTCAATAAATTAAATTCTGTAATTATCAAAATAGTAACAAATAATGTTAATAAATAATAGTATATTTTTAAAATTTGTATTAGTTAAAAAAAACCTTGTTAAAACACTTCCAGAATACACTTTTATTCTTAAAATGCTTTAATAAAGGAAAGAGAATAAAAATTTAATTAATATTTTAAGTTAAAATAATTTACTTTAAAAATATACTGCAAGGACAAAGAAAATGTAGAAATTTATCCTATAATAAAAAATTACTTTTGAAAAGAAAATATAATACTTTTATAGAATCTTCATCTTTATCATGAACAAATAAGGCAACAGGAGCGATTCTCATAGCAGCTCCATTACCATAAGATCCGTCTCCATTGAACTGCCTTGCAGCAGGAAGAAAGACATCTTCGAAGTTTGTCTCCTTTAAAACCATAAACACTCGTTGAACATGTGCACCATATGATCGTGAAGGTGTTAGAGGGTCAGTAAAATACTCATTTACAAATCTAGAAGATTAAAGAAGGAGAAATAATTCATATATAAAAAGATGTAATCCAAAACGATTATGATTTAGTTAACATATCATAAATTGATAATAAATAATGCTTTACCTGGCAATAAATTTTAAAATGTTTAAGCGTGAGAGTAAAAAAAAAGAAAGAAAGAAAACAAGTCATAATTGAACAAAACAGAATAAGTCTATCTGTAAAAGCTAAAGCTATAGATCAAAACCTATAGACATCAAAATTCATCTAAAATAAAAAATTATTAAGAAGATATTTTAAATATATACTCTATAATTGTTAAAATTTTACCATTAAGTCTTAAAAACATGTAAGTAAGAGGTTGGTTGTTGTTGTTGTTCATTTACGTTGCACTAGAGCTGCACAATGGGGTATTGGCGACGGTCTGGGAAACATCCCTGAGGATGATCCGAAGACATGCCATCAAAATTTTTATCCCCCACTTCGGTAACCCAACGACCTGCACGCGAAGTTGAGCACTTTACAATAGACCAATACCGCACACCCTCGGTCCCTACGCAGGCTGATTCAAGTGGTCACCCACCCACACACTGACCGCAGCCAGTGATGCTTGACTTCGGTGATCTGTTGGGTCTTAACGATCAGTCCACTGCGGGACAGTAAGAGGTTGAAGACACAAGTGTTGTAAAAAAAAAAATAGGGAATACCTTTGAAGAACCTTTTTCAAAAGGAAAAGGAAGAGCTTAGGCTAGTTCATACACAAAATCTGTGGCAGGACAGCCCAGGTTTTGTCATTTGCACAATAGTGAATGAGTACAAGTGTATGCTGGCAACCACAATAATACTTTTCCACCCAGGTCACGACTAGTTCTGATCTTGGGCAACATGACTTTTCAACGCTCATAAAAAGAATGTTTAGTTTCAGTAAGTCTTTTGTGTGTTGGCAGCTTTTCCAAAACCATTTCTCCCAGGATAATTAAGAAATTTCACAGAAAGTTCGGGAATTGCTTGGTGCAAGTCCCACAGTTCTCCAGCATTTTCCTAAATGATAACCCGTGGTCCATGAATAGATAGCCGGTCGATTTTAAAGGAAATGACTGAGAATTCACAGTACCGGAATTGGCAGTCCAAGACATAGCTGTCCCCAGTCAAACACCCATAAACGTACTCACAAATGAATGTGTGTGTAAAAAAAAAGTCATGTGTTAAAAATCTAGTAAATTACAACAAAATTAAGTTACATTCACAGTCACATTCAATTCAATGTTATTCATCTTTCAGGAGTCTGTCCAGACATTTTGTAAAAGGTCCGTTTTTGCAAAATTGTGAAAAAATTACTCGTAATTTGTGAATATAAAATAAACATTAAGTCACATTCTTTCAACAAGAGTCCACTTTTGAGAATTTGTGCAAATAGGGTCCGTTATGGCAAAAAAACTTTTTCATTGTAAAGACATACAAGATTATGCTCAACACTGTAAAATTATAATTTAAAAAATTCAATTTTAAAAAATAAACAGCAATTGCAGCTACTAAATTAGCGATGCAACATATAAATATTTGGTATTTAGCCTATACTGCTGAAAGCAGAATATTCATTTCGGACGAATAGAGAAAGAAGCGTCTGCCGAAGACAAAATTTAGTTTGTTTTCATCTGTCTTTCTCCCCCCCCCTTCCTGGGAAGGGTCTATTCGATAAACAAAACAATAATGAAGATAAAGAAATTTGTGAAGGGTCCGATTAAAAGATAAATTATTTTGTGAAGGGTCCGTTTTTAAGAGACTAAGTTAACTAAGTTACGAGATTGTACTAAGATGGATTTCATTGCAGATAAATTAAGGGTGATTAAAAATTAAACCCTGATATATATAAATAATAATATACCGTCATTTAGAATTTTTTTAAATTTTATATATCATATGTTTAACAGAATCTAAACTTATAAATGCTATTAAAAATTTAATTAATTATAAAGTCCACAGTTAGCAGATGTCTCCACTTCATAGCAAAGTTTTATGTTCCACATCTTAGTTTCATTCTACAGTCAACCCAAATTTCATCTAGAAACTTTTCTTAAAAGTTGTTTTAACAAAAACATATGTTACAGATTTTAATAAAAACACATGATTTTATTTACACAGATTCGCAATAAGTATTATTTGCTTGAATTGCATATTTGTAATACCTGACTGGGTTATTAATCCAAATTTTCTAGGGTACCTAGAACCAGCCAGGTACAAAAAAAATTTTTATCGGGTACCAGCTGAGTAAAAGATTCAATGTTCACCAGTTACTCGAACCCAGCAAAATTTTAGGATTCCGTACATCACTGGAAAAAAGTTTTTTAACTGGGCAAATATTCAGCACAATTTTGTAAAACCAATGTTAGTTTAATGCTTACACAAAATTATAACATTATAAGCTGAGTCAAATTAATTGACTTCTACAAATCTACATGGTATTGCTGCATGTTTGCATAAGCATATCTTTGATACAACACATTGTTTCAATAGCTACTAAAATACAAATGGGAGATTCTTCAAAGACCAAACAATATCATATCCAAATAAAATTTCACAAGATTTACTTAAGATAAAAGTAGTTATTTTTTATACTTTTAAGGCGTAATTTTCCCCATGCATATACAAGGATATTCATTTGCAATTTCCTAAAAATGTTTTAAAACAACTTAAAAGTCATTCTTCTGCCCTGTTCAGACCTTTTTCTTAAACTTATTTTATGTATTAATTTTCACAGCAACATTTCAATAATTAAAGTAGTATCAGTAAACTATACATACTTGAAGGTGTAAAATAATATTTTTTGAATCTGTTTAACTATTTAACTCACCAAGGTGTATCAGTTGAAAGTTTCTCCTAAGGTTTTCATGTCACAGGGAGTTATGTTATTATTTTAGGAAAAATTAGAGAATTTTCAGCTGTCCACCTGCAACACTGTCTATTCCTCATCGTTCTGTTGGATTGATTGAAAACTTTGAAGATCAAATTATTCACTTGATGTTCTCATATAAGGTTTGAAGCGTATAACAGTTTCTACTATTTCTATACATGAAAGCATTTATTTATAAATATACACATACATCATATATTTATTAAGCATTTCATATTATAACATTATGATTCTGTGGGGGGAGGAGTTATCGATCCTGTCAACCTTTATCTATCGAAAGGTACCTCTTGATTGAATCAAGTTAGCATGTCTTATATACCAGTAAATTGATGTTTAATTTTCGTAGTGGTAGTTACGCTACAATACTCCCCCACCAGAATTTTATCAGGGATAGAATTCGATGAACGGATACCACTAGTTGCTGTACNAAAGACCGGGAGAGCTGGTTTTAAGGTCACCGGGTTTTTGAGTGCTGAATGTGAGAGGTGCATTAACTTCACAGTTGTAGTCACTCCTGTGTTGCCATTAGCAGTCGAGTGTATGCAGGCAGACAGTGTGTTTAATTGAGACGAGACTGAGTAGCAACAGCGTGAGGAGGTGGATAATGTCACAGTCACAAGTCAACTGTTCAATGTGGATCATCCAACGAAGTAGGCGTTACCAGATCGAAGTAGGCATTACTGTCAAGATTTGCATGTTCCAATCACGTTCGCAAGTCACCAATGTGGGGGGCGAGGAGTAACTGACTATGTCAACCGCCATCTATGAAAAGGTACCCCACCATAGAATCGAGTTAACATGTCTTATATACTAGTGAATTGTAGTTGTAATTTTGTAGTGGTAGATACCCTACAATTCTAATCGAAGCCTAAATCCGCCTCTAGAACTTATTAGCAGGGTTAATATATGAAAAAGAAAGTCACTGTCCTAGCATTTTCTAAACCAGTAGATTGAACTTGCTTTTTTAGATTTTTTAAAGCACTTTTAGTTTTTAAGATATTGTGTATAGCAATTTAACTATTTTCTTCCTAACTTTTATTTATTATTTTTTTTAAATTATGCTTTGTTGATACCTGGTGAATAATATTTTTCTACTTTTTTGCTACACAATACATAGTCAAGTATTTGCTTATGAGTTTCATAATAAATTTCAGGTTATGAATGATACCTTTTAGCCAAGTCAGTAGGGCAGACTCTCTTATTTTCAATTATTGACTTAGTAACTGATAATGCCATTGCTGTATCATCAGTATATGGATAAATTCGATCTGTTTCTGTAAAAGAAAACGAAATAAACATAATTAAAAATTATATAAAAATGGTTAGTCTAAACATGTAGCTTAGTTTCAAATGTATTGGAGCAACAATGTTTGAATGCTATGTTTTTTTATTTCAACTTAAAAACTAGCATGCGATTTTTTATAAAACATCCACTGTAGAAATGCGACTTTGTTAAATGTTTATTGTACAAGACAGATCAACAGAAATAAATAAATATGCTTGAAACTAATATCTAACAACAACAAATATTTAATAAAAACAATAAAATTTAACTTATAAAAATAGGAGTAATAAAGCGATTTAAATTCACTTTTCACATTATTCTGCATTAGGAAAATAAAAGTCTTTTTCAGACAACAGCATCATCAACCTTGTCTTTTATGATGACAATTTTTAAATTTCTCTCCTTCTTATTCATCATAAATAATAGCATTCAAAACATCAAAAGTTTGAGTACAACTTAAATAACTATTTCAAAAACACAATTGAAAATATTAATACAAAATAAAGCTATTATACTAAAAAATAAAAATGTGCACAAAATAGCTTTTTAGTTGGTACCTACACATTTTAGTGTTAAATTTTGATCAGACAAGCTGCATTGTCAGACAACCAGTTTATCTTAAGGTATCATAGGGATTGAATGCCCGTAATTTAATTTTTCTTATGCTAAATAATTGTTACTAAAAAAGATCATGCATAAAACTAATATTAATAACACAAATAAAAGGGTAGAAAATATCAATAGTTAAATAGCTTAATGAATTCTCTCAGCAAGTAACAATAATAATTAAAATCAACTGGTCAATGGTCAGATTTTTTAAGGAATAATTTCAAATTGCTAGCCCCTTCAAAAATAGTAGGAGATATTTCCGTATCATGATCTGTTGCACCAACTCAAATCGCCAAGGTGCCAAATAAATTTTAATCTTGCAAGTTTTTTTTTTAAAAAAAAAAAAAAAAGCATGTATAATTACCTGGGGATGGCTACAAATTATACCTTTTGAGTCGATCCCTTTCTGTGATGTTTTTAGTTTCTCGTGAGCCATTGCCCGGAAGTTGCCAAGTATTGGCGATTATTCTTCCACAGATCATAAAACGGAAATCTCCCCAAATAGTATTTGGATCTTTTGCGAAATTTTGAAAAGATATTTCAATGAAACTTAAAATTGTTCAATGCTCTCAAATAAGCAGCAAAATTTCAAGCGTCATTCCAGACTGTATTAAAAAGCATAAGTTTTTTACACAATATTCTAAGTATATGACCAATTTTGGAAGAAAAATTCGTGTGTGAAAAATTTGTTTGTGCTCCAAATTAAAATATTATTTTATAATTGAAAAATTTTATTTCAACTTTATAAACAACAAATATGTAAATGTTATGGGCAAACGTTTACCTCCATTAAAAATATCAGTAAAAAAATTTGTCAGCTTTTTTTCTGAAACGGGATCAATAAATTCAAATGGAGCACCAAGACAATCACCGATCAAAGAACCAACCAAGCATCCTCTGAATCTTGCAGCAAGAGAAATCGCCATTTAAGTATTTAAAAATAACACAATGTGTATGAGAATTCAAAGTCATGGGAGTGAACTCTATAAGAGACTGATAATAGATATAAATCTTATTCTCTCAATTTCAATGGATTGCATCATAACAGATTGAATTGATTATAAAATCGGTTAGTGGTATTTGCTTGGAATATTATTTTCGCTTGATCCTAACTTTGATATATAACTCTGTAACATAGATGGCAGTACTAACATGTTCGATTAAGAGCAGCAGTTCTTTTTTATGCACCAGAGTTGCACGATAGGCTATTGACGATGGTATGGGAAACATTTTGGATGATCCGAAGACATGCCATCATAATTTTCATCCACATGCCATCATAATTTTCGTCAACATGCCATCATAATTTTCATGATGGTGAGGGAAAGGGAATGGCTCCTCAGCTTTTGTATCCTTACGACCAGCGCGAAAAGTCGAGCACTTTACAGCAGATCAGTTTAATGAGGACTGAGACCGCACACTCTTGGTCACTTCGTAGCCTGATCAAAGTGGGCACCCACCCGCTCGCACAATGAACGCAGCCAGTGATGTTTAATTTCGGTGATTTACTGAGAGCCGTGTCTTACGATTACTGTGGGACGACTGAAAGTATCTTAGATGTAAGAATAGAATTTAGAAAAATAGATTTTTTTTTAAAAATCTAGAAAATCTGCATATTTTAGTAATGTTTGTTTAATATGGTATAGTTTTCTTGTAAGTATGTATTGCTTTTGTATTTCTTTAAAAAATAATTCTACTAGTGATTTAGAATATGTTGTGACGTCATTGAACACATTGTATGAGCGAATCGAGGTTTGCAAAACTTTTTAAGTAGTTGGAAAAATCAAAGAATCGAAGTCTAATTCCGGTTTCGTCGGTTCGTTTAATGTTCGATAACTGATATTTATTTTTCTATTCATAGAGGCCCAGTGGTATCCGCTGCCAACGTTATGCGTAGCCTAGAGGTAGCGGGCTTGAACCCAGCTTTACCCTGGATTAGAGTGTATCTATCGCGCTGTCCTTCTCAGTATTGTGCAATCTGTCCTTCTACTTGACAAATGTTTATAAACCTTAATTGAGCACACAAGCGTGCAAATGTATGTTGCACTAATAAATAAATAAATTATAATCATATAAATTCACGAGTATTTGCTTTCCACACAGTTTAGTTCATTCTTTAATTTATAAATATGGAATTTCAATTCTAAGATGTTTTAGTGAAATGCTCGTGACATTTTAAAAAAAGATATTAAAAAATTTGCTATATACTATTTAAATCAACCTTAACTTATATATTTGATATTATTATTAAGATAATGGGTGACTCATATTGAAAATCTAATATTGTCAGTGAAAAACATTTAATAGTGTAAAAAATCTGCCAAAGGCTCCTTGTTTTGCGAAATAAATAAATAATAATAATGCAATTATTTTACAATTTAAATTGAGGGAGATAGCTCACAACATATCATTTGTCCAATGGGTAGGTATTTGCTTATATAAATATATATCATCAAATCATGCTTTATATTAGTCACCCAAGTAGCACCTAATATTAGATAACATCAGAAAATTGGCAAAATCTAATGTTATCTTGCACAACTTCTAATATTAGAAAGATACAAGAGGTCGCTGTTTGCTCAGCATTAGATTCTACACAAACTAATATTATCTAGTGTTCGCAATAATATTATTCTGCATTAGTTTTGATGCTATATAATATTAGATATATGCATAATAAAGAAATAATATGTATTTTTAGCATTTCTATATAGTTTAATAATACTATTATTTCAATATTATCATTATAACCAGTTCTAAATAATAAACCACCACCGGCTAATAAATATGTATGGTTTAATTATATTTGTTAGGCTTTTACCACTTTCCCCATAGCTTTTTCTGGTAAAAAACTAGTTTTTACCATTTCTGGTTAATATTCGTGTTTTAATGAAATGTTTCTATTCTCTTGATTCCTTTTCTCAGTCTTCTAAATTTGTTGGTTGAATTTTGAAATACTTCATATGCATAATTTTTATTCTTTTTTTAATTGAGATGCTTGTTTTAGACTAAACTTAGGTTTCGTATGATAAATTTTTTTGCACATATTTGTTTTATTTTTACAGTTTACAATCGGATATGTGATTCTTCCGCTTCGAGTTTCGGATTCGAAAAATTCCTCGAATCCTAATACTGTTGATTCGCGGACTTCTGCGAATTAATGATTACAAATTCGACAAAATTTTTTTGGAGTTCCGCTAATCTAAAATTCAAATAATTGCGTAATTTATGTAAAATTTCATTAACGCGACATTTATTCACGCGTGATAACAACTTTTTTAGGAGATTTGTAAGAGAAAAACGCGATTTCGGATTAACTTCAAGAACAAGAGACTGAAAAAAATCCCCTGATAACTACAGCTGGAATTACGGAACTACTGAGACAAACTCAGAAGCATGAAATTTATAATCTCAAAAGTAATTCCAAAATAGCAAATACTTAAGGGGGTTCGGTACCTCCTATGTTGACAATGTTAAAATGGCATATTTCGATGTACCTTTTTAAAAAATGTATCGTAGTTAGAGCTTTGAAATTTTTTTTGTGTATGTAATAGATATTCTAGATTATACTGAAGTGAACTTTTTTTAATTTAGTGAANCTTCTTGTTGTTGTTTCTAATGCCCCTTAGCTATTATACTATCTAGCCTGCTTATATAATATATAAATTAAGGATGGTATAATTTAAGGCAGGAGGGTGCGTTTTCTGTTTTTCAGTGGCGATATCTATGGCCAAGAATACGACTTCAGAAAAACACGTACGTCACAGCCCGATATCTTCAGATCGTAATTTTGACCTGAACCAGAGAACGATCACTCTTCAATTCTGTACCCTCAGAGGTATTGATATGTTATGGGAACTTGTGACCCGACAAATTTAACTTGCACCAGTCAGCATTTACTACACGGATAGACGTCGGCCGGCGGGGATTGACTTCTTGGGCATGGGCCCAACGCCCTACCAACCTATCCCGGCTGATTTTTTCTTTTCAAACTGATAGTTTAAAGAGTAGCAAGTTCGTTGTAAATTCCATTCTGAAACAGAAGGACTATTTAATCAATGATATATGAGATATTTGCGACTGTGAATTCAATGAAATGATATATTTGTCCCCTTTTTTAATTGGCAATAATTAAATTGAGTTAATTTTTAATATATAACATGAATATAACATTTTTAATATATATAACGACATGCAAAACTTGAATTGCGCATTTGAAACTATTTTTTGAAGAGCTCGATACCATCGTAAGTCCATGCGGTGTTTCAATCGTTTTGAATTTTCTCTTTTTCAAATTTTCTATACATTTACTACGACACACAAATGTCAACTCTTACATTTATTACACTTTTTGACACGACGATACCACTGTTTTTTTCGCAATTATTTCTACCGATATCCGCGTGATATTTTTAAATACTGATATTTTCAAACGATATTACTAAGAAATGAGAAATTTCAATCTCTCATATGAGAAAATAGTTTTTGACACGATGGATTTGTGTTAAATCCATGCAGCGTTTCAATCATTTTATGTTTTTTTCTGATCCCGAAATTATCATGATACGAGAAATTTATTATTTGACGCGATAATTCTATCGCTTTTCAACAATTAAATATTTTTTTAGCGACTACACGATTCTGATCCTTTTTACCTAGAAATCTATCTAACTCAGATTCTGACTCCACAGTCCTGTGCATTTCAGGTTCAATAACATTTCGTAAAAAAAAAATTTTTTTTTCCCAGCTCGAGATTTTTTATAAAAAAATGAGGGAGACAGTAATTACAATCAATTAAGTCAAACACAGATTTTTTTAGTCACCTAAAACAGACTGCATCATTAAGTCCTTATAATAATAAAGTGATAATTTAAAAGTATTAAAAAATTTTGGGAAATATAAAAAAAAATATATATATCCCACTTAAACTTTTAAATTCTCTTTGACTTTTCTACCATCGAAAATAAAAAATCTGCAAGTAATCAACAGCTGTGTAAAATCAATAAATACACTTTTATTGCTCTTGTGTATTTATATACAGTTTATTTTAAAAATATATTTATACAAAAAATATGTATGGGAAAAGTCATCAAAATACATTCAATGCTTCGTACAAGGGCGCCGGCGCCGGGGTGCACTTGCACCCCCTGGCTTTTTTTTAAACAACTAAAGAGATACAAAAAAACAATTTTGTTATAAAAAATTTTTATTAAAAATATTTTAATTCAAAAACAAATAATTAAGTAATTATTGATACATAATAATTAAAAAATTGTTTAATCAAACATGAATTGTAATCGTTTTGTTTGCTGTCCAAACCTGTTTATAACTTTGTCAATGAATTCTGAGTCATCGTTGATTCTTTTCTTATGCACACCGAGCATGCACAAACTTGGCAGATATCTAAGCTATATTTTTAAATTTCATTGAATAAAATATAAATAATATTATACTTTCTATTCGTTATTTAGTTTTATGTTTGTAGTTATTTGTGTCACAAAGTCAGTAGCTATGCCAGCGCCATCTATACAGTTTCTCGTGGCAAAATTTGCAAGTACAAGAAATTCGTACTTTTTTTTTATAAATATCTTGTTAACAATGAAGAAATGCATCTTGAAAAAAAATTAACAGATGAAAGTATATGTAATGCCAAAACAAAACGTAATAACAGAATATTGTAAATTTTTTTTTGGGGGGGGGGAGGGGGTAGTTTGTTTGAGGGTTGCACCCCCTTTTATATTATTCCGCCGGCGCCCTTGGCTTCATACCTCCCAAATTTCTTAATACAGCACTGCTCACATACCTATAACTTCTATGTTTTTTAATTAATAAAGATTTTGACATTATTTTGTAATTTTAAGATAGGCAATATTCTAATTAGTAAAGCATTTTTGATTAAATCTCTTTCTTTATTTTTATCATGGATTTTCACTAAACAGGATAACATGAATTTATTTCTGACATAAAAAAGAAGTTAGTGAACAATGTTGAGTAAAAGTATTTCACAAATTTTTTTTATAAGCAAGACTCCTGTTAAAAGAGAAACACCATATTCAAGTGATATATGTAAAAAAAAAAAAAGCAGCTAAAAGTGATATATGTAAAAAAAGCAGTTAAAACCTATAGACATTAAGTAGGTACCATTTTATTAGTTGAGCAAGGACAGGCTTTGATAATTACCTTACACATTTTTTTAAAAAAATTTAAAGGATATGTTAAATTTAGGAGTTTAAACTTGTTTTTTTCTTCTTCTTTTTTTTTACTCAGGGTTTTAAAATGCACATAGCTTTAGGATATATATATATTAGCTAGTTTTGTTACTGTCTGTGATATATTGTTTGTAATTTGTCAATTTTCTATTGTTGCTGGCAACTAACAGAAAATTGAGAGAGGGTGCGAAAGTTGGTAACATCCATTTACTGAAATTATTATGGTTTAGTTTGCCACTGTTGGCAATAGCACTGTAGAGCATTCATTAATTGCTTTCAACTGCTGGATTGTAACTTGACTGAATTATTCGAAGCCTTAAAATATGGATTTGATTAAAAGATGGAATTCCTCATTCTACAATCATGAACTTTCATTTAATCAGAAGTAAATCCTTCATTTATCTTAAAAGTTTACAAAAACTAATGTTATCTTTTTCAGACATTAATGTAGTTTGTTTCTGTAAGTTAAAAATATTTAGTTATAGAATTTCCGCTTTCTTTCATTTGCATCTTTACTTTTTTTTCCGTTGGTTTCCTCAGCAGGCAATTAGAAAATTCTGTAAGTAATACCAGGAAACTTTATTTTGTGATATAAAAATATAATTATTTATATTTTGTCCTTCTTATATGCTTGCAGTTTCCAAATAAATTAAGTTAAAAAAACATAGGTATTTAAAATTGTTAAGCATGTTTAATATAATTCTATGAATAAAAATTATGTTTATTAAAAAGGATACATATGTATGCAAGTGTTGCAGTTATATGTAGTAAGATTTGCCAAAAGCAACAAAATTTTCAAATAGAATTTTGTTCAATTCTTATCATATAATTGTTTTTAAAAGAATGTGTGTTAATCTTTTTTCCTCAAATTGATCAAAAAAAGTATGTTACTTTATCCAAAAAATTTTCTACACTTCAGTCTACATATCTATATACTATCATATCTATATACTATCAATTAAGAAATGTATTAAAATAGATTTGTCAAAATACTTTAAAGCACTTTAATTTACAGTAGTTTTTCACAAAACCATATTACAAACTAAAGTCATTAAGCTTTCTATATTCAACTCTATTAGAAATGAAGTTACATTTAAAAAAAAAAAATTGAAAATTTGATTTGAATATATTTTTCAAGTTTCTTTATTGATGCTTTTTCAACAAAATGAAATTGGGAAATAAGAATAATCTAGAATAAACATGATATTTATTGTTTTACAGTCATAAATAATAATAGAAATTTTACTGATGAAAACTAAAACTCTTAATTATTTATCTAACCTAGTCTTTTTAAAAATGAATAGTTGTTATTGTTCAAAAACTTAGTTAAAACACTTAATAATCCTATAGGATTGTAGCTATTGATAAGATTACTTTTAAATTCCTTTTAAACTGACAAGAAGGTAATATTTTGTGCCATTATAAGAGCCGTAAAAAATTTCAGGTAATTTCTTTAAAAAATTAGAAAAATTTGAATAAAAGCATTAATAATTTAAAACACGTTTATGTATTTAACTATATAAAATGTATTAAAACCCTATTTTTTAATTATTACCAGATCTGTTACATAATCTGCAATAGTGAAGAAGTGTGATTTATTTTCAGATGTATAAGTTTTATTTAAAATTGGAAGTTTATCGTAATCTAGAATAATGAATAATTGCTCAAAATTGGTAAAACTAGAATAATAAAAAAAAAATTAATATCTTATATTTAGGAAGATAGACATAACATTGCGTAAGGCTAGTATAGCAAACAGACCTGAGTTGCAGATGCTATCATGCTAGATGTTGTAATCAAAAGGTTAATGATATTGAATTAATAAAGTTTTAATCATAACTTCAAATGAATTCAATAGAAATAGCAAGGTTCAAACAGGCTCAGGGTTGCCACAGAAAAAAATGAACAAAATAGTTGCTTTTAGTAGCCTAAATAAGAACAAAAATTCCTCAAAAATATGACTAAAATTTTGTTAATGACAGACTTGTCATATACCATGATCCATTCAATCAAGTTGGTGGAAATATGATAATTTTTATATAAACGTAAATATTTATATATATGAAAAGTGATTACTTAAATTCGAAATTCATGCATCGTAATATTGTATAAATTTTTTTTATTTTTAAAATCATGTGGAATTTTGTAGCAATAATCATTGAAAAGGGAATCGAGAAATAAAATAAGACTTAAAATGAAGTCTGTGCAGATTGAACGAATTAAAAAAAGAAGACTCAAATTTACAATTCAAAATTTTTAAGGAAAAAAAAAGCTCAGTCTGTTCAGAAACTATCTTGTGGGGTGCAGATTTTCCAACTTATTTATGCCTTAAAAAAAAAAAAAAAACGCTAGGAGTTTAGAAAAGTCTCCCAATAGTCTCCTTTTCCTGAAAATAGTTGCTTTTTTAGCCTTTTCAGGCAAAAAAAGTTGCCATAGACGCCTCATGCCAAAAATAGTTGCATTTTAGTTGCCTGTGGCAACCCTGCAGGCTAAATATGCTTTTTCTTTGATAAAACTTAAAGCTAGATTTTGAGACTATTAAATTTGAATTAAAAGTTTACAATAGAATACAAATCCCATTTCCTTGGTATAAATTAAAAAAAAAAAAATCAAACAAAAAGCAGTTTCATACTTTAACTTCCATATTTTCTACATTAGAGTTTCTAAATAACAATATACACTCTTAAGTAGTTTTTTTTTATTTCAAAACAAAAATTATACAGGAAATAAATGTATAAAAATCATAATAATTTTTGCATTATGCATACCTAGTCTTTCAGTATGAAAGAAAAAGCAAATTTAAATTTGACAGGCTTTTAGTAGGTCATCAGCTAATTTTTCAACTTCATCTATTTTCTCACATCTAATTTTAACATTATTAGGAATTATGTCTTCACCAAGATAAGCACCAGCAATGCCACCAGCCATTGTAGCAATGGTATCAGTATCATAACCAACCGATATTGCAAAGTAGATTGCACGAACAAATGGATTTGAATTCTAGAAATAAAATTATGCATTAGATTGAAAATTGGTTTGATGGTAGCTCTAGAGATCATTCGATATTTTTTTTTACTTTAAAATTATTGAAAAGTATAACACTGTATATATATATATATATGTATATATATATATATATATAT